CCGTACTTTTCATAAGTAAGTATAAATATGCGAAAGAAATATTAGTAACAAATATTATATTAGTAAAATTTACTGAAAGTTTGCTGGAAACTGCGGTTCTATTAAAATTTGATAATTTCAGGATATTTTACTGGACTTATAATGAAAAATTTGAGTTCTACTAATTTTAAAACTGACCATTTTCACATTTCATATAAATTTGATAGTTTCAGAGTAATTTTCTGCAATTTAAAATAATTAGTCGTAAATTTGTTACGAAATATGAAGTGCTTCTAGCGAACATCCAACAATTCTTTGCACCGTGATAAATTAAAATAAATATGCGTAGGGAAATCTCCAACATGACATTCCCTATGTCTCGCAGTTAGAAATCCACAATGTATATGCAATACGGTATTCTAGATACATGAAAAAGAAAATATGTACATATGTAATTACACATTTTGTAACTTTTCAGGTTTCCAATTCATAACCCCAAACATCTAGAAAAGTGGTTGATGGCAATCAGATGTGATATAGGAGCGAATTGTGAAATTAATTCGGATACTATCGTATGCTGTGCACATTTTCACTCTACGTGATCGTTCATGCGAACAATGTACATTCAATCAATAATGCAACTTGTCCTTTCGCATAAAAATTGTTCGTACTTGTATCGACTACGATAAGTGGAGATTTTTTAAATCTAAGTTATTGAATGCTTATCGACTAAGCAGATATTAAAGTGTTTTATATTTAATGTGCCTGAATAGATAATGAGCAATAAAGAACTTATTATAATAACAGTTTCCACAAAATTTTAAGAATATACTGAACGTTAAGTTTACAACTACTGATTTCGGTCGTAGCGAAGGCATATGTATATTCTTGGACTTATTTATCCTTCGTGTTTTCAAATTTAGTAAATGCTTTCATTGCACTATTAGATAAACATTCATTTAAACATCTTGTCAAACATTCTGTTAAGAAAAAAAATTAGTATTTTTCTTTCGTGAGAATACTCCAAAAGAGCTGAGTAAGTGTCATTTTTCGACACTTCGAGTAAGTTCCATTTATGCGAAATTGCAAAATAAGGGAAAAATACAACTTGTTCGAATTTATCTTTCAACAGAAATTTTATAAAGAATAAGAAATATGTGGTTATTTCCATATGTTTTTTTTTAATTTTTTCCAATTACATTTACACACCTATATATTATATTTACTTTTTTCCAATTCATTGATAATTTCAAATCATGTTGATTGAATTAAAAGCGCTACAGTTTTCATTTGCACAATTTTTTATAAGAAAAATCCATCTGCCACAACACTTCTACGTTTGAATTCGCGGGTGTTCTGTCGGTCGGACTTATTCGAGGCGTGTTCGGGTATCATCGGCGTTGCCGGCGGCCATGTTGGCCACTTTGCCTCCGGTTTCTATTCTCCATGCTATTCCCGTATATCTTGACCATTGGGTAGCCTATCCATGTTATACATATCAGTGCGTTATACATTTCGAGCTCGAGTTTAATCTCTTTCTTTTTATTCCGTGACTGCTGCCCTATTCTGTAACTCTTAACGACAATAACGACAGTGACTACGTTTATACGGTATCCTTAATTGGGTTTAATAACATTGTAGTTTGAAACTGATCAATCATATTCCTCTGAATAATGGAGTGACTGGTTAATTTCTAACTATGAATGTTATTAAATCCGATTAATGGCTCCTGCACACAGAACGCGGCAACGCTTGCCAATGAGCGACTCAGACTCAGCCAATCGGACACTGATCTAGTGAGTTTATTTAATTGATTCCTGCACTAGTTACATTTATAGCGTTTTTCATTGGCAGAACTAGTGCGCACTCAGTGCATTTTAAAACATGGAAAAAATCTACAAAAACATTATCGTATGATAATAGTTGTCCACTCTCAGGTTTCTCTCTGATAGAAGAATGTTGAACTTCCATCATGCATGCAACGCGAACAAACCTTAAGTGAAATAAATAAATAATAAACAAATGTGATTGGTTTCTACCTTAGAGTCCAACAAATCACATTTCTGTTAGAAAGCGCTCATAAAGTGCATTTTATTTGACGCTAAATATATTTAAAAGCTTCCAATATGATTAAATAGACAAAAAAGAAAAATTAAAAAATATATTAGAAAGAAATTCATATAAAAAGAAATTTTAATGTTAAAGAAATGACAAAAATTTTGCAATTCAAAATTACAAAATAGTCAATTTCAAGTGTGTGATATAACGAATGACAAGACAATTGCATAACGTAGTTTACGACATGTTGATGATGTAATTACACATTTTGTAACTTTTCAGGTTTCCAATTCATAACCCCAAACATCTAGAAAAGTGGTTGATGGCAATCAGATGTGATATAGGAGCGAATTGTGAAATTAATTCGGATACTATCGTATGCTGTGCACATTTTCACTCTACGTGATCGTTCATGCGAACAATGTACATTCAATCAATAATGCAACTTGTCCTTTCGCATAAAAATTGTTCGTACTTGTATCGACTACGATAAGTGGAGATTTTTTAAATCTAAGTTATTA